TCGACACATTCCCAAAGCTAAGGGATCACTGGGATGAGTTTGTTGCATATAAGACAGGTGAACAAGGGCAGGCGATGATGGAAAGAAACAAAGAAAATGCCGCCAAGAAGAAGTACCATCACCACTTGGGGTCAGAAGGCTATAGCGTCGCGATGCCAAAGTGGGAGGTGATGGAGGCTAGCTTGATTGAGAGGGGTATCGAACCGGCAACCGCCAATTGGCCGGAACGATCGAAGTTCTGGTACTATGCTCACGGTGGAACGCTCAACCCAGCTGATGGCTCACTGGTCTTCGGCGATCAGATACGAGAGGCTGCGCGACGACTAACAGATGCAGTGGAAGCCTCCTCTCAGGGCACGTTCCGACCGGACAGAGATAGGGACGAGCTGACACTCGCCCTACAAACTCCAGAGCATCCAGGATGAATACGAGGGAAAGGGGTGATTCCTTGGAAGATTGGTTTCAAGGAGGACATCCACACGTACAGGAGTCGGATGAGGAGCAAGAGAGATACCGAGGCGAAGATTGCAGATCTAGAGTTCCGGGTATCGAGCTACGAACTCAGCATGCAAGAGGAGGTGGCAAGGAAGGTTGATGAACGCATGGCCGCACATCGGTCCCATGATCCCCAGCCGACCATTCCTCCTGCAATGGTGAGCCCGTTAGGAAAACCGTAGCAGCTGCGCCTCAACGGGGCAGGTAGGATCACAGAGCATGGACGCCATGCAAACACAGGACGAATCGACCTGTCCCATTGATGACATCACTCAGCGGACACCATGTGAGCTGCATATTCCTTACAAGAACTTATCAATAAAGGTAAGCTCGTAGTTTATATATTTTAGATTTAGCCATTCCGCTAGTTGCTGCTTATATATGTTGATTACTAATAAATAATCTCTCACAACATGAAGGTGGCGTCGGGCATGGCCATCCCAACGGACCCTTCAGGTACTTACCACTGCAGGCCGATTCCAGCAGGATACTCGAAGGTCGAAGTTGAGTTGGTCGAAGGCGCGTACGAGGACCTCGAGCTGGATTACCCTGGAGGAGACAGTGAGACGCATCTACGACACACAAGCCAGCGGTACATCATCCTCCCTGGGCGACAAGCGGCGTCTCGTGCACCATCTCCTCCTCAGGATCCTGCACCGTCTCCTCCTCATGCTCCGCCAGCACCGTCTCCACCTCAGGCTCCAGCACTGACTCCTCCTCAGGATCCTGCACTGACTCCTCCTCGGGCTCCTACACCTACTCCTCCGTAAGCTCCTCTTCCGGCACCTTCAAAGTCAAGGGCCCCCCCAGCTCCACCGCCTGCCCACACAAGGGCAACGAAGAAGGCGAAAGTTGACGCCGCCAAGAACAAGGACCCGGGGTACGATTGCACGCAAGAGGAGCTTGACGCTTACGTTGCATCAGAAGTCAAGAGACAATTCAAGCCTCGAAGTCCAGAAAAGAAGATTCCTATAGACCCCAATGTCAGGAACTTCTTCAGGGGTATGTCTGCACCTGTCAAGGAGGCCATCAAGCTATCGGACTATGAGCGAACGCTGAAGAAAGCATCTTCTGGAAAGTCCAAACCAGTCCCTCAGCTTGGAGAGCAACCAAACCAGGAGATCGAGCCGTTGGTGATCGGGGAAGACATGACGATAGAAGAATTTATTATTGACACCGGTCTAACTACGGATCAATTGCTAGGAGTTGAACCAATAGAAAAGGCGGAATTGAAATACATGTACGAACTCGATAAACCGCTTGTCAAGCCCGAGCTGGTGCAGTCCCTACCCACACAAATGTACAAGTTCCATCAGCTGTACATGGAGATGAGCGCCACCGGTAGAGAGATGATCGGAGCGAGGATCAGGGACCCGGACTTCTTGCAAGGAGATGATATTCTCTAGATCAATTTCAAGGGAATCTATGAAGTATACCAGCTGGACGCCCTCGACGTCTCTATTATGAGTTGCTGGATTTTGTAAATATATCGTTCAGTTATATTTCTTAATTACTACGTCTCCTTTAATTAATTAGGTCCTTGTATATAAGTAAACTATATAAAATAAAATACTCCCTTTTATCGTTGTAGAATGGAGATTCAAAGGGCCCGACGGCGGAGGGTTTTCAATACTGGATTCATCGACCCTCGGAGAGTAAATGTCGCAATGCTCGACCAATATCCACAAGAAACAGAGGACAATCTCGTCCATCTCCTGAAGGCGCAACATTACAAGACGTTCATACTGTTGCCGTACAACACAGAGTTAGTTTAATTTTACTGTCTTCCTACATACCAAATTTCATTCCCGTATGAACTTGCTAAGTGTTTCATATGTAATGCATCCCACGCACATTGCAGATTCCACTGGGTGCTTTTACTCTTCGACCTGTCGGCCTGCACTATCAACGTATATGACTCAATGGATAAAAACGAGTCTACGTTTGACAAGGTTTTCGAACTTATAGACATGTACTGGCATAAGTTCCTCTGTTAATTAAGAAATTCTTGTTATGTTAATTATTTCTACTACGAATCATATCTTTAAACTCCTTGTAGGGCTTGGTATCGGTTCCATCATTTGGTCCGTGGCAACTGGAGAGAAAGACTTAGGCGGAGGTTCAAATTTTCTTTGAGTACACATGCTCTACATTTATATTTCTCCGATTCAAATTAATACATACAAGTGTATATTAATTAGATCTCACGCCGTTAATTTGTCATTTATTTGTAGTGCGCAAAGCAAAAGCAGGGAACTAACTTGTGCGGCTACTACGTGTGCGAGTATTGCCACTGCCTTGCTGACCAAATCATCACCACAAGAGAGCTCGATGTACGTACAAATAAATTCAAAATTTCATTACGTATCGATTTCTTGTTTAATTACTAATCAATTTCATACATTCATATAGTTTATTCGCATGAGGGATAACCTGACCACACACAAGGAATTTATCGCGGCGGTTCAAGAACAACTCATGGGATTCATCAACAAAGAAATCCTTGATCCCAAGGGTGAATTCTACTACGACGGAAACACAATTCACCGGTCCTTAGCTTCTGAGCTAGCAGCGAGTACTACTACTACGTCGAAATCGTAGCTAGCTAGGACATATAATGGATTGTAATTAATACATGACTACATATGTTTCTATATGCATGTGTACACATTTTCTATAATGTAAATATATTTTGGTCATATATATATATATATATATATATATATATATATATATATATACACACACACACACACACATATGCATTTGCATAACATATATATGTATAAATACATATATATTATGCATGTACATATGTACTGAACCATATATACATATAATATAATATATATATATATATATATATATATATATATATATATATGCATATATATGTATTGAAACATATATATGCATGGTTTATATATATATATATATATAAACCATGCAGCAACAGGGCCATGCAAAAAGAAAAAGGTCAGCTCGATCTTTAGTCCCGGTTGGTTGGCTGAGCCATCTTTAGTCCCGGTTATTTCACCCGGGACTAAAGATAGCGATCTTTAGTCCCGGATTGGTACTCCCGGTTTGGAAACCGGGACTAAAGGGGGTTACAAATCGGGAATACAAAGGTTTCTCCACCAGTGTATGCAGATACTGAGCAAACAAGAAAGCAGTATTATCTCCTTTAGCGATGAGATGCAGCTGTATGTAGTGACCGAACAAAAAAAATATAGCAGCATATACTGACCAAATTTTAAAAAAAACTAGTATATGCTCCGTCAATACTAATGTATTCCCTTCGTTTTATATTATAAGAATTTCTAGCATTGCCCATATTCATATACTCCCTCCGTTTTTTAATAGATGACGCCGTTGACTTTTTCTCCCATGTTTGACCATTCGTCTTATTCAAAAATTTTATACAAATGTATAAGATATAAATCACACTTAAAATACTATGAGTGATAAAACAACTCATAACAAAATAAATTATAATTACGTAAATTTTTTGAATAAGACAAATGGTCAAACATGTGAGAAAAAGTCAACGGCGTCATCTATTAAAAAACGGAGGTAATATATGTTATGTCTAGATTAATTAACATCTATATTAATATGGACAATGCTAGAATATCTTATAATATGAAATGGAGGAAGTAGTATATACTAGCCAGAAATTTGAAAACAGTATATACTGTTCCAAGGAATAAGTAGCACATACTTGTAACAAAACAGTATATACTGTTCCAATAAACAGTATATACTTATATATAGTGCAGGATGAATGAGATTCCACAGCCGATGGAGAGTGACATAATTGGCTCATTCACATGCATAATTGTATCTATTAATTAGATGTAATGTTTGGTCATGTATTTTTTATGGATTGAACGTGACATCGATGAACTTGTTATTGTTTAATAAATGCAATTTTGCTTGCTAATTACAAAAGTATGCCACGTATGTTCGGAATAAACAAATACTATTCAATATCTTTTCATGGTTGAACAACTTTCAAAAATCAGTCTTTTGGGAAAAAGACTTCTGGTAAAGTCGTACAATTTTATCTTAACATAACAAAAATTGATTTTTAAGTCATTCTATAACTATTTTCGTTATGTGAGCTACTCAGATTACCAAATTGGGTTCATGCTATACACCTAGAATCAAATTCTAATAAAAACATGTTTAAATTCAGTTCAAACTTGCTTTGAACTAGTTAGTAAAATAGTTAATGTTAATGCTAAACATTTAAAAAAATATCATACTCATTCAAATTGGATATATACTCATTTGCGTATTTCATACCATGGTGTCTCATATGAGTGTCATATACATATATATACATACGTATGTATATATATATGTATATATATATATATATATGTATGTATATATATGTATGTATGTATGTATACATATATGTATATATATGTATATATATGTATATATGTACATATATACAGAGACATACTATACTAGACCCAGAGTGCATAATAACTAAAATGTTACCCCTCACGTCCTACCCCCCACCCCACCCTACCACAACCCTCCCCTGCCCCACCGCCGCCGCCTACGGCCAAGGAGTGGCGGCGTGCAGGCGACGGGCGGCCGACCTAATCACCGCCCACTCCCACCGGGGGTCGTCGTCGGGTTGTGGCCGTATCGGCGTGCGGCTCCGGCAGCGGCAGTTCAGGAATGAGGAGGAGCGGCGGCGAGGCGCATCCAGCCACGGCTCGGAGACGAGGAGGTTCGGGCGGTGAATCCGGTGATGACGAGGCGCGTGGGCGGCGTGCGGCTATTGGCTCGGGCTTCCTCCGGTAGCCAGCGATGGCGACGCCTTGCGGCAGCGGCGGGCGCGGCCGGCGACGACGACGGCCTGCGACGGCGACGGCTTGCAGCAGCGGCGGGCGGCCGTCCTCCGCCCGGATCCGGCGGCGGCGGCCCGGTGGCGGCGGGAGGAGAGCCCAGCGGAGGAGTCGGCAATGGTGTGGCCGGCGACGGCGACGGCTTGCGGCGGTGGAGGATGGGGGAGGCGAGGGGGAAGAGGCTTCGTGCTCCTCCAGTCGGGCGCATTCGCCGCCATTCCGCCCGCGCTCGCCGAGGCCATCGGCGCCGCTGGGTAGGGCGCGAGTGTCTTGGAGGTGATGGGCGGGGCGCGCAGACTGCTCGTGCCGGACCCGACCGGGACCTGCTCCCAACTCCCGTGGCATGCAAGTTGAGTGGTGCCAGATCCGGCGGCTACGACTGGGCAACGGCTGATCCGGGGAAGGCTTCGTGCTCACTGGTGCTGCCTTCTCCCATGACTCCGACCTCCCTCTCTAGCCGCCGCCGGCGTCCCCCGCTGGATGCAGTCAATGTAGGCTCGGGACTCGCCTGATCTGGGGTGGATCGACGACCATTGGGCTGTCGAAGCATAGCAGAGACCCAGGCAGAGGTGTAGGTTGCTGCTTGCAGGTCCGCCACTGCCCGTGGACAGACAGTGCTCGTCGATCGCATTGCTGTAGGCGCCAGCGACTAGTCCTGCCAGGCCTGACTGGAGAACGGTGGGATTTGGTGCTGCTGCACCCTCAGCGGCGCTGGTTAGTTCCTTTTTTTTTTATTGGATCGATGGAAGTTCTGAGCTAAGCTTGTTACTATTGTGCTTTTGGCTTTTTGTGGTCTCGATCTAGTTGAACAGAGCTGTTCTAAGAGCATCTTAATATTATTCCCTTGCTTAGCAGTAACCAAGTATTACAAATGAATAGCGATAAGTGTATGACATGAAAAATTTGCCCCTTTATATCTTTGTAGTTTGTAATAAGCCTGCTAAATTCTCAATGTTCATGTGTTCTGTTCAAAATTTATATGATTCAGAAACTATCCAAGCCACTTGTGCTAGCGTTATTCATAAATTAAGATGTCATGGCTGATATGATCTGTGTATGTTTGAATTTCGACAGTAATCTCAAATTTATACAACTCAAAACTTGTATAAACCACCGGTGCTATCTGTTAGAGCTTGCATTTTCAGAAATAGCTGTAATTGGACATATTTTCATAAATGATCATGTATTCTTAGTGAATTTGGTTCTATGTATTGTTGTGATGATTGCTGCTTTTGCTGGATCAAGCATCATGAGTGAATAGCCCTGATACCAGAGGGTTTTTTTGCAACGCATGAAGAACCATGCTCTCATCTTAATTTTCATTTGTTCAGTCATGAATTGTTTGTGCAATATATTCAGAAAAGTGTTCCCATGTGAATTTCATTTGTTTAGTGATATATTTGTGCGTGCAATATTTGGAAAACTGCCAATAGCATCATCATCAGGTTCTCTGATATGTTTGATAAATGAAAACTCTAGAAGCTCAATTCGGTAGCAGTTCTATGAAGTTTTGTGGTTCAACAGAGCATATCAATTGATTTTCTCTGAACTGCTCTGAAATTTTGTGGTTCAACAGAGCATAGGTGTTTGAATAAAATAATCTACAACCTATTAACGTGATGATGGTAACATTTTTTATCAGTGAAGGATTAAAACTCCTTGATTCCCATTTATTTATGCGAATGAAAAAATGAGCCATTTTTTATCCCAGTTTTGCATCGCGGAGGAAAAAAAATCTATTTTTCAAATGTTATTTACTAATGTGTCATGATTCATGATCTGAGAATTTATCATTGTTTTAGACGGATCTATTTGGTTTTACTTAAATGCTCACCCTCTAGTTTTAACCCTTCTAGAACTGTGCCATCTGCCCATCTGTAATATAGTGCAGCGGAATGATTCATTCGGCTCAGTTGAACTAGAAAATCTAGAAAATGAACCTTGCAGCTGAATGATTTATTCCGATCATCTTGACCAAATAGATTTATTTCTGGATTTGGTATTTGCTTTCTCATTCCGCTGAGTTGCACAATGTTCAATTGTAGGCTGGGAGTAAGGCAAGCCCAAGAACACTATAGTCCGGATTTAATTTTTGCTTTCTCATTTTCAGGTATATGCTCATGTGAATACAACCAAGTACATTTTCAGATCCGGTTGCTAGCCAGTGCCATGGAGGAGCAGCAACAACCACCTCCATGACGCGACGCCGTCAATGTCCAGCCAGCGCCAGTCATCTCCGCCACCAACCACCGACTGGTCTCTAGATCTATGTTATATTGTCATGGAGTAAAATGTTTACTCACACCATATGATTGTTTCATGGCGTGTAGGCTTATTGTAAAAAAGTTACTATTCTCATATTTCTCATTGTATTCATATCGTGTAGGCTTATTGTAAAACATTTACCATGTGCTAATAAGTGTCCGTGAAAAATACTTGAGTCTATTTAACTATATTTAACTAGGTAGTAAAATTATTACTCAACAATAACGAATTAATCTAACAATATGTTCACGAGTAATTGATTTACTTAGTGAGGCTCCAGTGTGAACAAAAACCAATAACTTATTGACGAAAACAATATTGGGCGCAGACGTAATCTCCTATTAATTCTTTTACTTATGGTTCCACGTTGGAAGGAAAACAACAGAAATCAATTCGGTGTGCGGTAGTGTTAGTAACTCGTTTACTTATAGGTTATAGGTTGATAGGCTCTTTTACTACTGTAAGTAATTTACTTACTAAAAGATGGTCGCGAAAAAAAAAAATAACATGGCAATAGAAAGGTGCGGGTGTGGGGCGGTTAGGGGTGGGGGAGGAGAGAGAAAGGTGGTTTTTCTGGGTGGGAATGGGGGTGGGGTGGGGTGGGGTGGGGTGGGGGTGGGTAGGGGGGCACGTGAGGGGAGCATTTTAGTTATTACGCACCCTGCGTGCGGTTTAGCGCATATATATATATATATATATACACACATATAGAGAGAGAGGGAAACTCAAATGTAAACCGAAGTTATGCTTATAGCACGATTGAGTAGTACTTGTTTTATTGATTGCTGTAGCAGCCTGTTATGGTGGATGCATACAGGGTAGTATGGCTGATGGGACGCATGGGCTCCACCGTTACTATTTTCCTTTTGACGCTTCAATTTCTGCCGTGTGTTTAGTTAACATCAAAATTAGAAGTTTGATTAAAATTAGAACGATGTGATGGAAAAGTTGAAAGTTTATACGTGTAGAAAAATTTTCATGTGATGGAAAAGTTGGGGACTAAACCACACTCTAATAAGTTGGCTGTGACTTGTCATGTCACATGGACACAACTTTTTTTTATGGACAAACAGTGCCCGGGAGGTTTGCCTCTTCATGCATGCAGTGTTTTGTCTTGTCACTGATATCTTTGACCAACAGGACATTGCACTGATTCCTCCCTAAATAAGGACATGGCATGCTCAGTGGATGTGATCGAGGTTTAGTCTGTGTACTAGTTTAAGGCTTTGTTTAGTCCACACAAAAAATTGAAAGTTTGGTTGAAATTGAAACGATGTGACGAAAAAGTTAAAAGTTTGTGTGTGTAGGAAAGTTTTGATGTGATGGAAAAAATTGGAAGTTTGAAGAAAAACTTTGGAACTAAACACGGCGTAAATTGTTTTTTTTATTTGATTGTATATCAATACTCCTCACCTCGGCTGCACAAAACTGTGGAGATAATTTTGAAAGCCTTTCGGAAGATAGCTCGGACAAAGGATCTGACATTCACTCTGGAAAATTAATTTTACAAATTTATTTGTATATTTAAGTGAGCAAATATTGCTAGTTAGTTGCTCTAGAGCTATTATCAAATTTGCAATAGATTTATTCGATTTCACATGTCAAGTACTATTATCAAATCTCAAAATTAGCTCTTTATCGTGTGGTCAACTTGGTCAGATTACATTACCATGTTAATTACAATTGGAAAAAGGTATATATATTGTCATAAACTTAGATATTACGATGTATTGGCTTATATTACATTACCATATTAATTACAATTGGAAAAAAATAGATTTTATGATGCAATGGCATATATTCATAGGAACACCAGTCACGTACTTTTTTAAGTTTATAATAAATGCCAAGTGATATATCATTTTGCAATATCATTTATACATCACATTGCAAAATGACATTTCTATGCAAATATCATATTTTGGTGGTGAGTGGACTTTTTTTTTGATATATTTTTTTTATGTAGATTGTAACTAAATCATATTTTAGAATGTAACATATATCTGTAAAATATTAACCACATGTTTCTTTATTTTCAATCCATGGCAAGCGAATAAGCGATATACCCTAAATCATATACCTAGTAGACATGACAACTAAGAAAAAGAGCTGAAAGTATTTTATGAATGAGATTTTTAGCTTGTAGTGATGATGACGTGACATTGGTGTCAGAATATAGGTGTGGCCTGCAGGTGCAGGGGGTCATTGGGAAGCATAGAAGCAAGTCAACTTGTACCAAGGAAACAAGCATGCATATCCAGCCCTACATAGGAACGGAGTGGAGTAGGTACATCTTATAGCTGCATTAGTACATAATGAACTCCCCGTTGCAATGTGCATACGTGTCAGCCATATGAGGTGGGTGCATATGAACCTTATATATATATATATATATATATGTGTGTGTGGAGATACTATACTACGCATGGGGTGTAGTATAATACAACACAACCCGCCCCACCCCCCCCCCCCCCCCACCCCGCGCACACCCCTGTCCCCCTCAATTCCAGTAATTGTTTTACTAATGGTAACGCAGTTACTAAGATGAAGTCAGTGAACAAATATTGGATATGTCCAAGACCCACCCACCCCACAAACAGAAACGAGCCACCATTCAGTTTCCCCATTTTTCGGATCTGGAGAGGCGATGGTTGCGGCATCCAGGTAGCGGCGATGACGAGGAGCGCCGGCGGTAGCCATGGTGCGGGAGGTGATGATCAGGAAGCAGAGGAGGCAGCGACGGCGAAGAAGCTTCGTTGGGACCTCCACCTCCTCCTCACGGAGCTTTGTCATCATGCTCACCACTGCCGGTGCCCTCCCGGTGTCGTCCTCTCTCTCCGTCGCCGGCCCCATTGCCCCGCAACCCCCTCCCCGTCGTCGACACGGTGGCTGCCTCCCGCTCCTCAAAATCCACAGGTCGCCGTCGCTCTGCAACCCCCTCCCTGTCGTTTTTTTCTAAAATTCCCTTGTTCAGTAGAGCAGCACAAATGATTTTTTTACTGATGGATCGATCTATCCATGTACTTTTTTACTGATGTATTAATTTGTGATTTTCTCTATGCGGTTCAAATGGTTTATGTGGTTGGTTGCCTTGTCCATGGCAGGTTCATTACATGCGGTGATGAAGTTAATATACATCAGGTACCTAACAGGTCCATTGCTTTATTTGTCTGCAAAGTTCAGAGGAGTCTAGTTGCCAGGTCGGAGCGCAGCTAGAGGATCCTAGGTAATCTCCTGACGCAGGCACAATTATGCTCTGATTTCTTCCCCAAACTTCATCCGCATATCTGTGAATGGAACAATTTTCTTTTGTTGTCTTTTAGCTAGAAATTTTTCTTTGATTAGGGGGGAGATTGAGAAAAATGGTAAGATTGAAACACATTATTGAGGTATGAATCTGATTACAGTAGGTACTAGGCAAGATTTTCACCGGGCAGGTACTAGGCAGAATATTGATTATTACAATAGGTACTAAGCAAGAAAATTTATGTCTCTTCAATTTGGATTTTTCTCTCTTCTCCCTTCTAGTCTGCGTCCCTACTAGATCTGATCATCTATGTTGCAGCACAACAGAAGTGGAGAACAATCTGATTTGTACAACAAGAAGGCTGAAGCGATGCCATCGTCAGCCCTTATAAACAACAAAGCTAAAGTTCAGTTTGCAGACCTTCCTGAGGTATGTTTACCAAAGAGGAACATTCTTCAGATTTCTGTTTGCAAAAAGTTATCTTATCTAAAATAACTTTTATCATGTCCCTCTTGTGCAGAATTTGATGTGATTAAGTCTCAGAAATGCCACAGAAGGATGTTGTGAGAACTGATTTATTGTCAAGTTAATGGAGGTGCATGCATGTGGACTTGTTGCACGAAACTTTGACTTGATGGTGTTATGGTGTCTAGCGATAATATTAATGCAGTCTTGCAGCAGCACTCTAGTTTGGTCGAAGAGTTTGAGGTGAAGTTTGAAGTTGACAGCAAGCTAGTTGATCACTCAATGGTTTGGTCGATTTTGCTGTATCATCACAGGCCAATAAAGTTGCTTTTGATTTAGAGCAGAGGCCTTCCTTTTTTTTTTCTCGGATGGATTCTCCTGTGTTTATAAACGGCATTGCCGTGGAGTAAAATATTTACTCAGACAGTAATATTGTATCATGCTGTGTATGCTGATTGTAAAAAAATTACTATTCTCATATTGTCGTCTAGTGGAACATTCACTACGCGTTAATAATTGATTGTGAAAATAATTACTAATGGGTGGATACATATGACTGAGCATGCAAAAACACTTGGCAGAAAAAATATTACTAAGACATCGAATTAGTGAGAAGTAAAGATCATTACTAGTCTGTAACATCATTATTAATGGGAATATTTAGCTGCCAGTAACATCGTTACTAATAGTAGCTAACTAATCGTAAAATTTTTACTCACTACCTTAAAAAAATGTTTCCCATACAAATGACTTTAGTAAATGATTTACTGATAAGTCTACCTGTCAAACAAAAGGTGCGGACGGATAAACTATCTAATTTCAATATATAGTAAATAGTTTACTCTATCATGAACTATGCCAAAAAACGGAGGTAGTATATGTTATGTCTAGATTAATTAACATCTATATTAATATGGACAATGCTAGAAAGTCTTATAATATGAAATGGAGGAAGTAGTATATACTAGCCAGAAATTTCAAGAAAACAGTATATACTGTTCCAAGGAATAAGTAGCATATACTTGTAACAAAACAGTATATACTGTTCCAATAAACAGTATATACTTATATATAGTGCAGGATGAATGAGATTCCATGGCCGATGGAGAGTGACATAATTGGCTCATTCACATGCATAATTGTATTTATTATTTAGATGTAATGTTTGGTCATGTATTTTTTATGGATTGGACGTGACATTGATGAACTTGTTATTGTTTAATAAATGCAATTTTGCTTGCTAATTACAAAAGTATGCCACGTATGTTCGGAATAAACAAATACTATTCAATATCTTTTCATGGTTGAACAACTTTCAAAAATCAGTCTTTTGGGAAAAAGACTTCTGGTAAAGTCGTACAATTTTATATTAACATAACAAAAATTGATTTTACTAAAAAGAGGTTAGTAATCATTTAACTAAACAGAATTCTGAATTTGTTGTGCGGGATGGTTACCACCAAAAGTGGACGTGGGGTTGAGGGGGTGGGTGGTGGGGGAGTGGGGTAGGGTGGGGGTGTATCTATGAGGATAGCGTTTTAGTTATAACACACTGGGTGTGGTTTAGCGCATCCGCATATATATATATATATATATATATATATATATATATATATAACACACACGGTGGCGCTACAGGCGCTGCGCGCCACGAATCTAAATGGCGCGACTAACAGCGATCAGCCCCTGCCGTGTTTTCGGTTTTCTTGGCCCCATCCGATCCCCTCCCACCAGCCGAGTAAAAAAATTACTTTCCTTTCTCCAGTTCCGCATGCATCCCTTCCTGAGTAAAAAAGAAAAAAAATACTTGTTTGCTTCAGCGAAAAAATTACTTTCCTTTGCATCCATCACCCAGATTCGTGAGTAAAAAAATTGTACTGGGAGAGTAATTGTTTTACTGGTGGGTACCTTGACTCGTGAGTCTGATCGCAGGAGCTTCTCCTGGACTTTTAGTTTTTTCTCCCCATTGAACGCAATTTTATCTAATAACTAAGATTCGTCCACGTCATCACTAGTTAAAATTTAACTTGCAAATTTACTTAGGAGTAAAAATTTTACTGGGAGTAAAATTTCACGAGTTAAAATTTTACTGGGAGTTAAATTTTAACTCGTGATGACGTGGACAAATATCAGTCGTTGGATTTATTTTGGAGGGCCGAGATTCACCCTATGTAACCGCGTGACATGCCAACATCTGAATCCATTCATCTCTCGTCCATCATTTAGTTATTTTTCTACTGGCAAATTTCCAATAGTAAATATTTTACTTCACAAATTACATATAATTTTTTTTTACTCTGCCAATATACTGATATGTGTATTGCAATTTGGTTGCAAGATATCTAGATGCATTTAATCATACAGGGAATCACATGTATTAGAAGCTAATTACACACACATAATACAATAACAATAATCAAAGTCACAGGACAATGTCCAACCAAAATCAGGCAAAATAATTGATGGGCGTTGCTGTCGACCCTAGCAGCTTTCTAGTCCTTCTAGATCCGTTGAATAGGACCGAGCTGCCGATGGAGAGAACACCGGCGACAGTGGTGCTCCTCACTAGGTCACCGCCTCCACCGGATCAGCATCAGATCCCATCGGCAAGAGAGAGGAGATTCGGTGCCGCCCATGATTCCGCCCCTGCATCTCACCGTCCAGTGAAGGGCTCAGAAGAAGACGACAACCACTTCGTGGATCTTGGTCATCGTGATGGAGAATCCTGCCGGAACTCGTCGCCGCCGTCGAGCCCTCGCAAGCGAGCAGGCAGATGTGTGGCGTTGAGAAGGAGACGGTTGTCGCTTTCTCCCGTCGCTAATCGCCATCACCATCATCGGTAATCTCCTCTCCGTTGAGGTTTGCTCTAGATCCGGAAAAAACGGGATGAGGAAGAGAGGAATGGCTGGATACGGTGAGATGGCTGGCTATCAACGGTATAAATACTCATGCGTTAGCCATGCAGTAGTCAAAAAATAACTCATGAGACATCGTATGTGTTGTAGTGGAGTTACCAATACGTGGCGGTGTGGGGGTGGGACTGTTGACGTGTATTAGTCAAAAAATGACTAACGTAATCACCGTGCGTGGCAACGGGAGGGGAGTGAGGGGGGTGGGCAGCAGGTGGACATATTAAACTGTGTCAGGTGCCGTTTAATACATGGCACCTTAAGGTGCCATATAGTAGTTCTATATATATATATATAGACTGATATTTTTTTCTTCTCTGAGGTTGTCTTATAATTAGTTCTAGTATTCTACTCATGAGAAAAGAAAACTTTCACAAAATCAAGCTTTAATATATTTTTTGAATACTTACACTGGATGAAAATCATATGTGCATTACAGTGGATGTTGATCTATATGTAAATATATGTGTTTGAACTACTGCCCTGTGATTGAACTTACTGCATTTTGTTATTAAACACCTCACTCTGAGTTTATTTGTAGAATTTTCCAATCTAAACTTAGATATCTCTTGCTCTAATTAGCGAAGATAGTTTTAGTTGTAATTCTGTTAGTTTGCTGTAAAATACACCATGAGGCAACTTTAAACTGTGGGAAGACCAAGAAGTACGTAATACATTTTCTTTTGATAAGGAACGTTCAGTGACTCAATTTTAACCAGGATTTTATTTTGCTTATGGAAAAATGTGTTCTATCAAACCGATTGTTGGTGTGACCTATATTCGTTATATGTAGGGGATGCAATTGTTACCAATGGGCATCTGCTAGAAAGAAAAACATCGTGTAAACTCTGTGGCGTTGCACTCCAAGTGTTTGTGGTTTTGCCTTATGTAGTAGTTATTTTGCTTTGCGATATGGTGCTTGCAGGGGCTGATCACTGGAGGTGTGATTTTGTTTGCCAGTTGAGGGAGGAATTCACACGCTTCTGTTCACTGAGGACATCTTCTCAACCTATTGCTTCCACCGATCATCTTTAATGATAGATTAGCTTTCTGTGTACCTGTATTTCATGTGGTTAGCTCTCAACCAAAGTGGAGTTTACTTTTTGTACTTCTATACTGTAATAAGAAGTGCCTTGTATTATTTTAATTTGGTTTTGTGTAATTTAATCTTGAGAACAAAATGTGTTGCAATAGGACTCACTTGAGAGATTCATATGGTTCAGAAGTATACATATGATTGTATTATTTTCGCCGTTTTATATAAAATGTTTTCTATATCTCTGAATTTATCAAACCCACCTTTTTAAGACTTTCTCAAACGCATGTGATTTCTGAATATGAAGGTACACTTATTGAACTGGATGTATGAAATAGATAACTGCCCATCTATTCCTCTGAAATTATACTGAAAAATGAATTAAATAATCATGCATGCCATGTCCCAAACAAAGGACTCTTCCCCTGAATTGCGGTCTTAAAAGTATTGCATCACAGCAATACACGGAACCCTTTTACAATTAGAGGACATCCATGAGTGGAAATTATTTACTTTTAAAATGCGTGTGAATCATTTAGATTATTTTTCTTGACTATGCAAATATAAACTTTATAGAGAATTATCACCTTTTTACTCTGCCCTATTTCAAACCTAGGAAATTGCATGCGTTTCTGCAGTAACTGAATTGCTTAATGTATATTTCTTTTGATTAGTTAATAACAGTATAAGGGTGCATAATTTATATTTCTGTGCAAACACTGTTAGAAGAGTTTGTGCATGCGATAATAGCATATATTGATAGGAGATAGAATCGGTTTCTATTTTCTTTCTTATTTCACAAGATGTATTCTATCTCTAATTGTCCCAGTTTGTACACGCCACGATGAGGGCTTTTCTCATCTATATTAACACGTAACGCGGCCTCGAGAGAGGTAGAACGCTTCTGCCAAATTACATGGTATCAGAGCCTCGCTAGCCACGCACGAGATTGCATCTACGGCGATGGCGAGTTCCTCCTCTAGCGGCGCGAATCCTCTCTCAGGGCAACCCGTCCCAGAGAAACTTACCAGGAATAATTTCCTGCTATGGAAGACTCAGATTCTTCCTGCTATCCGTGGCGCACGCATGGAAGGATACATCACCGGCGCAAAGCAAGCCCCAGCTGCAGAAATTGACGCCAAGGAAGGTGACAAGGTCGTCAAGGTGACGAACCCGGCCTACGAAACATGGGTCGCTGAAGATCAACAAGTGCTTGGGTATATCCTGGCATTGGTATCAAAAGAAATTCTCACGCAGGTTGTCAATACAGAGACAGCCGCTGAAGCTTGGAGAGCGATCACGACGATGCTCTCGTCTCAGTCTCGCGCGCGTGCTCTCAATACGCGCCTGGCACTGTGTTTATGGAAAACACGAGGCCTGGGAGATCTGCTTAACTCCAGTGCAGGTCCAAAACTCGCCTTCGGATGTACGAGCGTGCCAGTTGATTTGATCCTATAATTAACAAGAAACAAAGACAAAGAAACCATGATTAAATCCATAAATGATAGCCGATCGGCTAGATGCCGATGACATATCATTTATCTTTGAGCCGATGTCATATGTGAATC